AGGTGGTGGGTTGGGGTGTGCGAGTGTGCGTGTGTCCGGGGCCGGGTTCGCCGGGGCCTGCGAAGTTGGGACGCGGAGTCACCACGAGGCGGGCAGGCAGGACCCTTCCTTGGGACCTCCTGGCCCGCTTCCGAGCCCCCCGATGGGGTTCGTCAGCTGCCCCAGCTGAAGAACCCCCAGCCAGAAGTTTGCAGCTGTTCAGCATCTGGGCAAGAGTTCGCCAACCCCTCTTTCCACCTAGGGCGACTGAACTGGGCCGGGGCGGGGGGTCTGGGGAGCGCGGCGCGGGCTTTCAGAGAGGGGAGCCAAGAGGCGGAGATGGTAAAGCCTGTCTCCCCAGTGCCAGCCCCACGCTGTCAGGTGTGGGTCTTGCAGAGACTGGGGAAGGGGCGCCTCTCCGGCCCCCCGCCCCCCCAGCGATTCTGTGCTCCTTCACAGCCTCCTGAGGTCTCTCCGGAAGGAGGGCTCCGGGGTGTGGGCAGGCTGGGAGCCACCCACTGGCTTATCCCAGGTTGTCCTTACGAGTAGGAGGCTCTCTGTGTCCCCTTAAGCAGTACATTGTTGATGGGTTGGGGGAGGGTACAGTGGGTGGATCCTGTGTCCCCTTCTCTGTGCCCGGCCCCCTTTTTGAGGTCTCCTTGTAGGCCTGGTTTCTTGGTTGGGGGCTGGCCCACCCCCACCAGCCCCAACCTCTCCGCCATCCCCTCTATGGGTGGCCTAGGCATTTCAGGGACCAGCCTGGACTATGGGAATCCGCGGTCTGGGGTAGTGACCTTGGGCTGCTCTGGCCTCAAGATAGGAGGGGAGCACTAGGCTGGGTGTTTAGAAGTTAGGGAGCTTTCCGCCTCCCTCCCCTCCACATCCCTAACAGGGAAGCCACCGTGGTCAAGGAGAGAATGAAAAAGGCACATGTCAGTGTCTACCCGCCTGTGGCCACGGCTCACGCCCGCCCCAGGTCTCACCCTGGCCGTCCCGGCTCCCACGGCCCAGCCTGGGAATGAATTTCCTTCCTGTGGCTTCCCAGTGTCGGGCAAGAGGTGGGGGTGGAGTGGGTCAGAGTGGGGTGGCCGAGGACCTGTTTCTCCTGGGTGACTCCGTGTCGCTCTCCCCCTCCCCCCAGCACGGGCAGTCGGGCTCTTGGGTCTCAGTGGTCATGTTCTTTGTTGTAACTCCCCTGCCCCAACACACCTGGTGTGTGTGAGTGTGTGTAAGGGGAGGGGTCTCTGGTGGCCCTCGGGAGGGAGGAGCTTTCACTCACACGCCTTTAGAGACCAGAGAGGGTGAGCTTTCTAACCTGCGATCGCCCACACAGCAAATCCGTGTCAGGATTTTGGCCCAGCTGCCCCTCCTTCAGGCCCGGCTTCATGGTGGAGAGACCCTGGCCGGGGAGATGGGCTCCTTGCTCTGGGAGGCCCTGGTCCCACGGGAGAAGCAGCACCCAGGCGTCACAGCCCTCGTGGCGGGGGATGGGCTCGGGAGGCTGGGCTCGAGCTTCTGTCTGCTGTACCCGGGGCCTGGCGTAGAGTGGTGGGAGACAGGGGAGGTGGCGGGTGCTGCCCGTTGTCCCCATTCGTACCTGCCACCCCTGCCCTGGGGGCCTGGGCTTCCCGGCTCTGCGCCTCTCGGCCGCTGGCTCCCCTCGCAGGTCGGGAGATGCGATAGTCTCTCTGGCTGCTGTTACATAATCTCTCGCCGGCAGGTTTTTCTTTTCCGTTTTTTTAAATCTTCCCTGAGTCTTTCTTGGGAAGTGTGATGAGGGTCTGAGAAGGTGGCGGGTGGACTCCCAGGTGGGGGCTGCAGGAGCAAGGAGGCTGGGGGAGGCCCCTGATGGGGACAGGAGGGGACGCCTTGGGCTTAGACTCATTAATGGGGACCTAGGCCCTCCCGCCCCCCTCTGACCCTGCCCTGGGTGGCCTCGGCTCTGGGCGCCCCTGGCCCTTTGCTCATCCTGTCTGCCTTCTCCTGGCCACCTGGGCCCCTCCCCACCCTGGTGGGCACTGGGTCTGAAATCTTGGTGCTGCGTTGGTGCTGGCTTGGTGCGGGTGGGCCCTGTGTCAAACACTTTGCCACCGCTTATGCACTTCTGAGGGGGCAAGGGGGGGCCAAAGACCAGTGGGCGAGCCCAGCAGTGCCCCCCACCCCCTGCATCTGGAGCCAGGCTCACTTCTCTGCCCCTCTGGCCCGGAGGGTGGCGACCTTACTGGAGGGGTTGGTGAGGGGCTGAGAGAGGCCTCGACCTCTCAGGCACACCAGGTTCTGTCGCTGGCTGTGAGGGTCAGACGTGGGCCTAGAGCCTGTCCCCAGGGGTCAGAATTGGGGTCTCGTCACACTATGGTGGCAGGTTCTCCACACCCCTTGGGACCATGGCCGGGGCTCCTCAGGCTTTTCGAGGCCAGCTGGTCGGAGGCAATTATCTCCCTTTCCAGGGAGGAAGAGGTGGCGGGCCAGCCTCGCTGCAGCATCCATGTAATCGCCGGTGGCTTTTATGAGCCAGTCATGGGGTCGGAGTCCAGCCAAGTGTCTGTCCTTCTGTCCCAGTTTGGCGACTTACTCATGGGGGAGGGAGAGGTGCTAGGTGCTAGGAGCTCTGTCCTGGAAGCCGGACGCCTGCTGTGTTGTGGCTGATGTTGTTCTGTCTGTCACCAGCCGCGGCAGGCAGAGCAGGCTTGGACCTCAGAACTGCCCAGTGGAGCCAGAAGGGGGAGAGGCCGGTGGCCCTGACCTGGCCTGGGAAAAAGGGGCCCTCACAGCACCTTCTTCTTCAGTAGCTCCTGGTGGCTCTGCTGAAAGGCCTTGAACTTTGGCCTAGTGGGAATGGAGCAGTTTTTGGCTCCTGGAACATTTGTCCCCCCCCACCCCCGCCACCCCCCTGCCAGGGGCTGACAGCACCCTGAGGAAAGGCGGTTTGGAGCTGTGGTGTGGCAGCCTGCAGACTCCTGGCCCCCAGCTGGGGGTGTGCAGGGGTCTGTGCAGACGGGCATCCCTGCATGCACCTGGCAGGCCCCCAGCATTTAATGGCGCACATGCGTGAGGTGTGCAGCGCATGCACACGCGTGTGTAGGACCCACGGAGCAGCTGCCACCCTGGGGGGGTTGGGTGGGGGTGCTGAGTGGCAAAGGTGATTAAAGGATTGCAGACTGCGGACACGTGGGGGGGGCTGGAGGCCAGACCCGGAGGGCACGCAGGAGCTCAGGAGAGAGAAGCGGGGCCTGGAGCAGGGGCCCGGGGGCCAGACCACAAGTGGGCAGACCCAGAGCACGGAGCCGGGCTGACTTACATCCCCTACGCCCCCACCTCCCCCACGTACCCCTGTCTGTGGCCCCGGCTTAGCCTGCCCCGGCCCCTCGCTGACCGTGTGTCCTTGGACAAGTCAGCTTCCCAGATGCACAGGAGTCTCACTGGGCCTTGTGGTGATCAGGGCGCCTGGGTGTGTTGGTGACTTGTCACCGGCCTCGCTTGTCCTTCCCAGTC